AACCCATCTAAAATATATAGTCCATTCTCCCTATAGCCTATCCTAATTAGCCTTTGAGACTACAGATCCTATACATAACAAAAAAAACTAGAAAACATGACTAAATAATCACTAGAATCACATATTTGACTAACAGATGCAATATTCAATTTGAGTTTTGGAATAAGATAAATATTAGAAAGAGACAAGTGAGGTGTGACAATAGAACCAATAATTACTAGGGGTATAGGAGCGCCATTAACAATCATAATAGGAATGGAGGATAAAGAAGACACAGAGGTAAAAGATGAGGAATCTAGAGACATATGATGGGAAGCACCAGAATCCAATAACCATTTAAAGTGTGACATACCTAAGGAACTATAAGGAAATTGACCTATAAAAAAAGAAGCAGTTATTGCTTGTGGTTGTAAGGAGAGAAACTTTTAAAATTGCTCAACCAAAGTATTAGGATCTGTAATAGAGCGTGAGGAAACTATTGCTTTGGTATTGTGGTGTGGTGGTTTATAAACCCGAGGTGGTCTATAAGCATTAGATTTTGACTGACTATCAGGCTTTCAAGTTTGATTCTGCTGTCTCAACTTAGAACATTGAGCTTTCTAATTACCTTTCTCCTTACAGAAACTGCACTCATCAAACCAACTATCGTGTAAAGCTTGTTCAGATGATTAAAGAATAACTTAGAAGGTAATACTAGTATAGAAGGATTTGAAGAAGAAAGAATTCCCTTTTTAGAATAGGACTAAAGATGTTTTTCTTCAACCAATAACTCATTGACAATAGAGTCAATAGAAGACAGTGGAGAACAATGCAGAATTGAACCTCTAAGTCCTTCGAAATCACTGCAAAGTGCTGACTGTACCAATCGTTGCTATTCTTTATGCTTAATATAGGCACCACATGCCTTTAATTTTGCCGATTCTATAAGAGCCAATTAATTCCAAAAATATGTCATAGTAGAATAAAACTCTTGAATACTTATATTTTTCTAATGAAAAGCTCGCATGTCATTCTTTAATTGATACTGTTTTGTAAAATTTGATTGTGTGAATAACCTTTGCAGATGATCCCAAACCTCTTTTGTTGTCTCATACCATACCTATCAAATGCTCAACAGAATTATTGATCCAAATAAGATATTTGTATTATTTTCGTCCTATGTATCTATCAAAACAAAACCCCCCTCCTTAATATTCTTAGGTATCATATAAGTTCCACTAACATACTCTTATATCTTATTACCTTTAAGAAAATTTCTCATTATATAACTCCAATACAAATAGTTTTTCCCATCCAACCTCACACTCACAGACTGAAGCGAATCATCTTTTTAATTAGCTATAATCAACAATCACAAAGAATCAAAATGCAAAAGTAGTGGAAAATAAAATATTAAATTGTAGAAATTGTACAAAGATTGCAGAAATTGAATAAAGATTGCAGAAAATAAATAAATATCTTCTTGATGGAATATCAAAATAATTACAGAAATTAAATGAAAGACGAAATACCAAAATAATTGCAAAAACTGAAGGGAAGATAAAATACCAAATTTTGTAGAAGCGGAAGACAAAATATCACTTTAAAAAATTTCTAAAAGCTGTGTTCAGGATTAAGCCTCATTCCACAAAACTAACTCTGGTATCATGTTAAAATAATTAAAATCAAACATAAAAAAAAAGTTATAATTTTGAATAATTTATATATTATGAGTGCTTAGTATTAATCTACATATAAATAAAGTATGTATAGGTTAAACTGAAAGTACTATTTTACCTTTAATAAATAAGGTTACATAAATATTATTTAACAATATAAACCGGTAAAACCTTCATGGTCTTCTAAATACCAAGAAAAAAGAAAAACACTTCAAGAAAAAATTGCAAGTACAGTTTAATCTGTTTTAATCTTCTTCTTCTTTGTTGCAAGTCTGCTTCTGTCATTTTTGCAAGCGTCCTGGTTAATTACTCCTGATAAAAATCTACCACTTACCTCTTATCTATTCCTATATATGACTGCTACGTACACTGTTAGGTTAAAATGATAGAAAAATATCATCCTTTCATGTGGGGATACTATTTTGTGTGATAGCATACTGATCTTCAGGTATAGCATACTAAAAGTTGTTGAATATGTTATTTAAAAAATCTGACAATTTTTGAAAGAATTTTGAGTTCTAAAATAATAGCTGTTGAATTTGATAAACATAGGCATAGAATAGCGTCCATTAATTTATGGACCTTGAGAACACAGGCATAGAACAACACAGAATGAGGATATTACTTATTGGATTCATAGGTATAAAAATTAGATGAGGGGGTTTCTTATGATGCTTAAAAATACAATAAAACAATATTTAAATTTAGTTTAATTAATTTTACTAGTTTATTGGCTGTTTGTGTAGCTGTATCCAATCATGATCTTGGTATTTCATTCGTATATATGTGTAAATGATTTTTTATTTGTTTTATCAACAATCACATGCATTATGTTTTACAAAGATATCGTGTACCATTTAATTAAACCAAAGCATCAAAGCACACCCTTTTTCTTTTCTCATGAATACATACTTTTTATTATAACATTACTTTTTTAGACGACTTTTAATAAATCATAGAAAGAGTATGATATGAAGAAAGCACGACTGATTGTGATTATTACCTTTGAATCCAATCAGGGATAGAACTAATAAATAAATAAATAAAATATAGAGTTAAGTTATTTTACTATTTAAATTAAAATTATAAATACTATTAAGCTGGAAAAAAAATTCTTTGCAGGGCCGCCCCCAGTCCAATGATGATCAGCCACCAATATATAGTTGGAGTTCAGTGTTTTAAGAAAAACAATTACAAGCAAGATATCATAATAAATTTTGATATATGAAAAAGAAAACAACCTTAAAGACTGGTGAATAGTGGTGGAATTACAGCATTTAAATACAAGCATTGTAGTTTCTTGCATTTTTTTATGAATAGTGATGGAATTTCACTAATGAGGGAATAAAATTACAATGATCCTGGTCTCGTATCTAGTCATATTCTTAAATTATGAACCTGTTTTGACAGTTTATAGCCATCAAAATTTTTCCTGCAAGAATATTAAATTATTTTTTTTAATTTTTTATGGTTTTGATGTATATGCTGATATAAAAAACATTAAAAAATTAATATAATATATTTTAAAATTAAAAATTACTTTTAAAAAAAATTCTCTACACGTACGGCATTACCATACACAACCAATAAAATGAGCAAAGCATCGATTCGAAGCAAAGATTCCGGGATGATAATCTAGATGAAATTTCCTCCGTACAAGGTGTGATTTCTTAATGAAATATGATTTTGCTTCAATAATAATAATAATAATAATAATAATACAAAAAATAAATAAACAATAGGAAACAATCTATTTCAAATAATTATCTCAATCTAATAACTTAAACTAATAAATAAGATTTTAAAATAACTTATAATATTTTATATTTAATTTTTATTAAATAAATAGAGATGATGAATTTTGAATTCATAACCATTTAATTATTATGGTTCTGATATCATATTAAATACTTAATTTAATCTAATAACTTAAATTCTTAAACTCTTAAATAAAATTTTAAAATATAATTTATATTATTTTTTTTACAATTACATCAATATTAAAAAAATATAAAAATATACACCACAAGCCACATGCATTCCCATCCCAGATGATGCCTAGCGAAAAAGAGGTTGTATATATCTTTGCACCACAATATTAGTAATGAAAGAGGTGTCCCATCTTCTACTTCTCAATTAATAAAATAAAAGGCCGGTGCATAATTTTTTTAGCTGATCATCGCGAATAAGATCTCTTATTTGAGAAAAAGAAAAAGGGCTAAAGAACAACATATTCTCCAGGGTATGGTTATGATATATTTCTCCGGGCAGGCAGGTCATGATAAAGGTTGTTACCATAATCTAATGCAATAAAAACATCATTGGATCGAACCACCTCATATGTCTTTTGTCCCATGCAAATTGCTGGATATCTTCCATGAGAAGTCATTTCTTTACACGCAGAAGATTTTAAAAAACTTCCTATCCCATGACTATATCGGGAAAACCATTTACAGGCCCTTCCTGGGTGACAATCCACTTATGAATTTCTTAGAAAGGTTTATTCCAAGCACAGCATCTACACTAAATAGAGCTAGCCATTCATGACTTTTGTACCGTGGTTCTTTTTCCAAGTACAAAGGATATATTCGAGTGGTTCTGTCACTGAGAGTATCAATCTTTTCGTATAGTTAAGTATATGATTGTTTCCTCAGCATTAGAAAACCTATAGCTAGCTAAACATGAGCTTATGTAGTGCTTTCATATAAAAGGCATCATCTCCAAAATCTCCCAAAGATGCCTACCTAATCGTTTTTTGGTTTAATAAGTATCAAGCCTTAGTGTTTAGCTTACGCTTTAGTGATAGTGTGATTCTGATTCCCTCCTCCTCCAAAAAAATAGAAAGAAAAAAAAAACATTGCAATTAATATACATAATATAGAACTATGCCACTGAGATAAGCATTTTTCCTTCTTTCTGCTCTTTGTAATTGTTATTCAAGAAAAAAAAATAAAAGAAGAAGACAAGCACTATTGTGTTTTATTTTGCTTTGTTTATGTTTCAAGTGGGTATGTGTGTTTTCCTGAATATTTTGGGTCTGATGCCCATGCATTGGTGACACAACTATATATATATAAGCCTGTAGAACTTATCTTAATTTAAATCTTTGTAGCCTCTCTAAACATACAAAGAAGCAGATATAGTCCAGCTTGAGGCCGGCAAAGAAACGGATAAACTGGAAAAAGTAGCTTCGAAGTTCATAAACAACTGAAGGAGATCGAAGACATTAAACCTGGACTCAGAAGATAATAAAATAATTAATAAAAAAATGAACAAGCAGACAAACTGAAAAACCAATCTGCAGCAGCATGCCACATTTAAAATATTTAATACAAGACCATTTAATTGAACGTTAAATTATATATATAAACATTAGAAAAAAGAACAAAGATCTCCAGTTATTCATTTCTATTTCAATGGATACTCACAAGAACAACCTTGACCGTGAATATCTAGCGATTTATGGTAACAGAAGAGGAAGATTCAATTGATGATTGACAAAAGGCTGGGCTCTTTTGACATTTTCACTCTTTTTTCCTTCTTCTTTTTGATAGCTACGCAAATTAAACTGAGGAGCCCTAAGATTTTGGGTGTAGGAAAAGTTGCTTATCGGACATAAAAGCATTAAGGGGAAATGGAAATGAAGGACGAGCAAGACATTCTGCAGCACCTGTAGTTGAAGCTAAAGTGGTAGTAGCAGGAGTTAGGGCACCTGCATTTGTGAGATTAGGCCCTTGAAGTTGTCTGCAAGAGCTTTCACCAAAGTCATAACGATTTTCAGGGCCTTGATCATAGAGAATACCCTTAAAAACATGACCTCCTATATTCACCCTTGTTTGATATGCAACTTGATCAACCGCCTCATCAATGGAGCTCACTCGAAAGCAACGAAATGTAGCTGTAGAGTTCACTTCAGCAGGAAAATTCTCGATTTCTAAACCTAAAAGAGATAAGATATATGCCATTAAAAATCTTCAAAATAAGCAAATCATGAAAACAAAAGTAAACTTTATGAAAGATAAGGAGAGTGATCTATATGGATATGCTCATCACAATTACACCCTTGACAGCATAAAGAGTGCTCCTTAGATGCTAGGGTTACTGAGTTTATCTCATTCGTATCAAGCAATAGATATGGTTTTCTTGAGTTTTTAAGTACTTCACAATCTCAAATAGTGATAGATCTACAAGTAAAAGAACAGTACCTGAGGAGGGATTTTCTCTGAGCCTTTTAGGGTTGTGTCCTTGAAGCTGGTACTGTTGTTGAACAGGAGAAAGATCTTGAGCTCTCTGTCGCCGTCTATAAGCGGGAACCCAAGTGCTCTTGACGTGTGTTTGACACTGAAAACCTTTACTCTTACAGCAAGTTCTGCATCTCATGTAAAAACAGTCTTTCTTAGCTTGGTTTCCACAGTCCTGACACCTTGAGCCCCCCAAACATCCAGCTGGTCTCATCATCATCATTTCTCATCACAAAACAGAAGGCCACTGTTCCTCACTGTTGATTTCCCTTCTTTTAGGTTCCCTCTTGTTCTTGTTCAACCTGTCAATAGTGGCCACTCTACTTCAACAAACGGTTTTCTTAAGAAAGGTGGTTTTTGATGGTGGTATAATGGATGCGTTGTTTTTAGTTTAGGGTTGGTGGGGTCAGATCGTTTGGCTTCTTATTCAGTTCAGTGATCATGATTCATGAGAATGGTAGGGTTCTTCAGCTTTTGCAGATATATATAAACTACTTAAACAAGTACTCCATAAGAATTGTTCTTGTTTTTGTAAATTAAGTACTCATCCATGAAAGAGTTCCCACTAGAGAATGCTACCCGCCATAAAACCATCGATCATCGGCACTTCAAGTATTCGAAATCAATGCTTCATTTTACCGGCGCCCAGTGAGCTTGCTAGCACTAAAAAGCAAATAAAGAATAGATATAGTACTGCGACTAACTGAATAAATAAACTTGGAGGCAAATAATAAACAAAAGAAACAAAGAACTTGACCCCATTATTTTAACTCCTAGGGTTAACTATACCTGAAATGATTGCAGTGGTACTGGGGGCTGGCTAGCTATGAACAAATTAATACTTCCAAATTGTGGGGTGTGCTTGTTTGAATGTGAAAATGTAATGAAACTTTCTTTATGACCGTGATCGGGATGGTAAATGCAATGGATTTGGCATTTCTTCTTTGGAATTGCAATAGACATAGACATAGATCTCATTATGAAAACAGTAGCTAGGGATTTGATGATTCAACGTTTGAGTATCTCCAAAAACAACATGTATAGTGTTCAAAAGAGCTGACTCCAGACAGTTGACAGCACGATCACTTATTTGTCCTTGCACTTACAGAGAACTGTGACCCCCCTTCCTTCCCGTTTAGAGGTTGAGTCTTGTAGGGTTACTTTTTAGGGTCGTCGAAGTTATATATATTATTTTTAATATCAATATATTAAAACAAAAAACAATCAAGAAAAAAAAAATGACGACCCACTGCTGCGTCGGACAAGCACTTAGATCGAGCGTCTCTCCCCGTCTTCTTGTACTTTCTCTACGGAATATGTTTATTGCCACTCAATTGATGCCTAAGACGTTATTCCTTTTATAGTATTTACCCAGGCTTCTATAAATGCTTCAAATTCTTAATCATATATAGCACCTCGTTGATTAGACATTGAGTACTAGCCATTTTAAATTAATTCCCAAAGCTGGAAAAGAATGTATTATTGTGAACGTATTTTTCTTGTATATTGAAAAAATTTAATGGATAATGGAAAATTAATGTGTTTAATGAAATAAAATGAAAATTATAAAAATTAATAAATTATAAAAATAATTATTAATATTCATTAAATACTGTGTTTAATTATTAATATTTTAGATATTTGATATTGTGGAATGAGGTGTTATTTAAATTTTTATTTTATTTTATTATATAGAAATAAAAATAAATTTATTTCATGAATAAAATAATCAAAATTATGTGGAAAAAAAATATAATGTTGTTAACATAATTTTTTTAACATATTATTTTTTAGCCAAAAATATATATTTCTTTAGATATGTTGTTAATTTGATAAATTGATAAATTTCTAAAATAAGAGAAGTGTTCATTGCGCGCTACTTTAGGGTTTATATGAGAGTGCAATTACGATTACTTTTCAAACTGTTTTTTATTTGAAAATATATTAAAATAATATTTTTTATTTTTAAAAAATTATTTTTGATATTAATATATCAAAATGATTTGAAAATACTAAAAAAAATTATTAATTTAAATTAAAGAAAAAATAAAAAAATTTAAATTTTAAATATCAATTTAAATTAAAGAAAAAATAAAAAAAATTTAATTTTTTTAAAAACACTTTTGAAATGCCAAAACAAACTACGAGGATGCGAGAAAGATACAATTAATTATGTTACGCAAATATGACAAAAAAAATAGTTAAGAGATATTTGGAGGAAAGAAAGAGTGTTGGAATTTAGAATAGAGTAATTAACTCGGCCAAATCCATTCTAAACCAATTCATAGCAATCTCAAGTATTTTTTTTTTAAAGAACTAAACAATATTTGTTTTAATAAAAAACAATCGATATAATTCAACCAAATAATATTGGGTTTTTTTTTTTTCCAGCAGTTCCTATATCTAGCTTCACAGCTATGGAGTAGAGAGAGCAAGCATTTAATTATTGTCGTCGTTGTCTTCGCATGAAGACATGGAACCAATAATCTCTCGACACTCCAGGAAGGTAAAGGGGTTTTTTTTCTTTCAGCCCTTTAATTCAAGAATCAAAATGCAAAGAACCTGCATGTCAAAATAAACCTCTTGAGTTTTTCTAGGTTGGCAGCCTAGTCATAACTTGAACTGAGCCTATTCAACTCGCTAGGCTATTGGAAATTTTGATCGGTGATGTTATGATAATTGTCAATTGAAAGTTAAACATACTGACACAATATTTAACGTGGTAATCGAAAGTTAAACATACTAACACAATATTTAACGTGGTTTCGGAAATCGTTTACAGCAAAAGGAGAAGTCATTTGATTATATAGGAAGAGAACAAGATTTATAATAATGAAGAGGAGGAATTATCCACTATTTGCAACTCTCAACCTTACTCTTTTCTCTTTTTACAGTGCTGCAACAACAGCTCACTCTCTTCTATATTTCTCATATTTTTTGCTTTACACACACTCTCATTTTGGTCTATAACTTATACCTCTATTTATAGGCATAATGGTAAGACAACTTGGTTATAAATTATGGCATTAATGGTGGCAGCACATGGATTGTATTATTTTGTCAATGGTTAGTGCAACTTGTTTGATAATTTACCCACCTACCATTGTAGCTTTTTGACAATGTCATTACTAAGCTCACCACCTTGATAAGAGTTAACTTGTTTCTGGAACCTGCACATGCCCTCTACTCATTCCTAGCAGTCACATCTTAATGCTTTATAAGTCATCCATTTATTGTTAAAAACAAATGCTATCTAGCTCATTAATCTTTAGCATGGGGAAATATCTATGAAAATCAATCTTGCATTTATCTCCATACTCATTATAGCCACTTCATTTGTTATACACCTGTCCACTCGAATCTAGCCATCACATCAGCTTTGTGGCGTTCTGTAATTGGGCTCCTATCATGACCCTCACACTTTCTCCTGAGGTGTCTCTGCTTGTCGTCACGCAGCGGTCTGAACTTGGACTCATATTGTGGCCCTCAAACCTTTCAAATAAGGTGTTTCCGCTTGTTGTCATACGACGGTTTGATCTTGGGCTCATATCATGGCCCTTACGCCTTTTCTCTAAGGTGTTTTTGACTTTCATAAGAGGTCACATCCTTGTTTGAGATGCTTTAAAGTGACTCTAAAATTCTTTACCACTATGTGGACTATGAGAGAGATTACTGCCATTGATCACATAGAAAAATAGAGTTACGGTACACTCCTCATAATCCTCCATTTTAGTTTTTATATTTGGAGCTTCTATGTCATTCCGCTTGATAGCTCCACCCACACTTTCTTTTGGTGCCTTCGTCTTTCATTATAGGTGGTCCACCTCCTCAATTAAGTGCTTTTACAACAGTTCATCTTTTCATCCTTGTATGCATTGGAAAGGCCCTCACATGTTATCTTTATCAAGAGCACAAAAGCTTTCTTGTTGTATAACTTTCACAAGTCTCTACTTTAAGCTTCATTTAGGAATTCTTCTTCTCCTTGCACCTATTGTTTCATTATAGTACCTTGTTGGATCCTACGAGTACTTTTGCACAATCTATGTGTGTCCTCGCGTAATTTCTTTTCTCCAGATTTCTTTTTATTTTTTGCTTTTATGTTTAATAGCTCATCTTGTCACAACACCTATCCAAGTTAAAATAAGGTGTCAAACTTTATCCTTTTGTTGTATTTCTCTTCATTATCAGAGTTTTCATCAATTCTCCCCTCAAGAAATTATAGTCACCGAATCTAAATTTTTTTGAGAAATCACCATTTTATTAGATCCTTGAACATATGAAACTCAACTGTTTCTTTATGTCATCATCATATTAGTCTTCAACAGTTTTATTATAAACTGTTACATATACAAAATAATACCGTATGGATAATCCTTTAACTAAGCAAGTTCTTAGAAAAGATTGGAGGGGTCACACCAATTCCACTTAAAACTCAATCTTCTAGACAGAATTTCTTAGGCCATATATATCTATCGTATTGTCTTTCCATATATACAACTATTTGCTAGCTTTGTTGCGGCTTTCCTTTGCCAGTGATCCAGGGTATCCTGGTTTTATACCTGATTTCTCAACATCTAGTGAGACTACTAGTGTTTAGATTCATTAAGATTGGTCTTCATTAATTTCCACTTTCCACCTCAAAACGTCCACATGATCGGGTGTCTAAAGTGTCCCAATTTTGCCTTCCCTCAAGGCAACTAAAAAGTCTCTCCACTTAGCAATTTAACAAATGAAATTGGGTAAACATGTGCACCTTTTTCTTCTTCATCTCCAATGACCACTATAATGACCTTCAGATACCTCTTCATTGGGCAATCTCTCTTTAATAATTCACCACCACCATTTTAGCCCAAATCTCAATGATCGGACCGTACCATTGCATCTGAAATGATCAAATTAGCTGGAAATAATTCTGAAATCATCCAAATAACATTTTAGACAGTAAGATTTGATCAAAACAATTCTAGCCTAATAAGTGACCCAGATTTAATCTCAGATTTGGTTGCGCGTAGAATCCATTACACTAGATCTTATCCCTTGGCTCCAACTCGGTTCGGCTCTACTAAGCTCTGATCAACTTAACTTGATTGGCGCTGATGACGTGGCAGGTAGGTCCCACTATGCAGACGTGTCAGATGATTAGGCGCTGACATGGCATGTCAACTGTACGTGTTGCCGTCATAATTACATCATGCTGATGTTATCCATATTCGGGCCAAGTCATGTGGGTCGGGTTAGCCCATCTGAGAGAAGAAGACGCGTGGCATTGTGTGGGCGCGTCGGCATGCATAGACAGTCTCCTTGCCAGCGCGTGCGTCCATGTCCCACGTCATAATTTTTCACCGTTTTTATCAGTGTGCTCATCTCTACCTCCTCGACACGGTGATATAGTCAAAACATAATTCTAACAACTTTTATTTTTTAGCAAAAATCAAACATCACTTTAAACCACATGCTTTGATACCAATTGTTGGGAATGTCGACTAGTGATGTTCTGATAGTTACTCATTGGAGGCTAAGCACACTAACACAATATTTAATGTGGTTCTGCAAATTGCCTACATCCACGGGAGAACCATTTGATTATATAGAGAGAGAATAAGATTTACAACCATAGAGAAGGAGGAATTATCCACTCTTCGCAACTCTTAACCTCTTTCTTTTCTCTCTCTTCAGTGTTGCAATGGCAGCCCACTCTCTCCTATATTTTCAGTGTTGCAATGACAGCCCATTCTCTCCTATATTTCTCACATCTTTGACTCTACACATATTGTCATTTTACTCTCTAACTTATGCCGTCTTTGACTCTACATATATTGTCATTTTACTCTCTAACTTATGCCTCTATTTATAGGTATGAATAGTAAGACAACTTGACCATAAATTATTATACTAATGATGACAGTAAATGAATTGTATTATTTTATCAATGATGAGTACAATTTATTTAATAATTTACTCACCTACTATTGTAACCTTTTAATAATAACACCTTTCTTTTTTTAGGATAGGTTGTAAATATTATTAACCATTAATGACAACATTGGGCAACAAGTGGGCTTTATGAGTTCCAAGAGGATTCTTCTTAGGTCATTGCTTCCAAACAAGATTGAAAAGTTTCCGGCCAATCGACGAAACTAGTTGGAGGAGTGCACTTTGATTTAGCTGTACTTGACAGAAACATTCAGAGTAAAAAGAGGAGAACCCAAAGGCCGCGTTCCTAATATCCTAGTAAATCGGAAACAGGCACTAAAGCTTTCGCAGCCATGCACGAGTGAATTGAACTACAGAATCAAGAATGTCACTTGAACAGCAGTACAGATATGAATACAATACTGTTCATGGAGCTTTTGACCCTCTGACCATGGTTCTATAACTCTAGGACAAAGTGCAGCAGTCACAAGCAGTGAACCCTGAACCGGGTAAACAGAGGATGGAGGGCTAAAAAAAGACTATCATATATTCCTTCTTCTTTTTTTGGTTTTAAAGCTCGTATTCCTGGAATAGCTTTCACCTACCAAGATCAAGTCATTGACTCCTGTAATTTAGCTAAACGACAATGCATTAACAAGAAAATTTCTCTTTCCCGATTTTTCTTTCTTTCTTTTAGACCCAAACGATAACTTGCAGACAGATCATATCTGTAATTAGAAAATTCACATGACTTGATCTTTCCGAAAATCTGGGTCAACGATAAGCTCAAAAGCGCTAAAATAAAAGTTCAATCACGGGCAAAAGCCTTGAATTAGAAAACTAAAGCTTTCTATCACATGCCTTAAGCAGACAAGAAAGATATAGTAAAAGGAGCATCACTTACACGTCTCGTGGTGGATGCCCTTCTAGGCAGCTAGGTATGGACTCCAATCTTATTGACAACGAAGCAGAGATAAAAACAAAGAATCCGATAAGGCTTCAAAAAAAATCGCAAAATAAGTTTTTCTTCTCCTTCTCCATTGCTGGAAGGCAAGGATGTGGATATTTAGGAGTGATTCAGATGACAAAAAGAAAGGGAAAGCTACATTCTATCAAACACGGATCAAGGTATCCCACTTTGGATAGGCCCCTACTCATTGTTAAGCTCGGCATTTCAAAAAGCAGTGCTCTCTCTCAACGAGGTAGACAACCAAAGGGACAAAATGCGACATTGGTGGAATGGGGGCTGAAATAGAAATAGAAATACAAATACGCGGCACTCAATGCCAGAGGATATATTTTGTTTCGATTATGATAGAGAAAAAATACGCGGCACTCAATGCCAGATGATATATTTTGTTTCGATTATGATAGAGATGGTACATTTTGTTTCGATTATGATAGAAACGGTAGTGGTGCGTGGCGAAGAAGAGAGACGGTGCTTTTGATAAGGATAATGACAAAATGGTCGTGGCTGATCAAGGATGAGGGGCCAGTGGAAACAATGCGTCAACATTGCAGAAAAGTGGACTGTACGTAACAAGTCAGACAAGCTGGGAGAGAAGACAATAAAAAGAAAACGGGTAATTGTCAGAGCTTGGAACTTCAGTAGAGGAGACGGGATAAATAAACCAAATCCAGCACAAGCCAGGGCTTCATCAATACAGTGAAGTGCAAAGGCGCTTATGCGAGGAATACTTGGAGAGATTAAATCAAACCATGGCAGAAATCAACCACTAAAACAACTGAACTATATTTCAACTCTTTAACCAAGTATTCTGCAAGGCTCCATATGGTTCCCTAATTACTCGTCGCATAGCTGAACTTTCATGCAATCGAAGCCTCTTTATTTCCTTTCAGTTGCTTTGGATAACCATCCAGTCTTCTTAATGGATTTTTAAAAGTAGAACTACATTACGGGCTAACATTAGTTTCACTAGGATGACCTGCCCTTCTAAGGACTACAGGCTAATGCTGCAACTCAACAGCGAGAAATTCAAATCGCTAAATCCATGATATACAGATCCGTGAGCAGAGTGGTTCTTTTTTGCCAACTTTATGTCCTTTCAACAACGATTTGGATGTTCTAATATAAAAATAAAAATAAAAATAAAAATAAAAAAATATTATTTTAATTAAAAAACACTTCTTTAAAAACATCCCAAACAATTTTTAAAAACATCCCAAAAATTATCTTTCGTTTAAATCTCAACTTCAAAATATCTCACTATCACTTCACCATAATTTTCCCCAAAAGTGACAAATACCATCCACTTATACAGTTAACCATTTGAAAGACCAACACATATCACTCTGAGAATCAAAAATATGTATTAAAATAAAAAAGCTAACCAAATAGATTAACCTAAAAATAAATGATAAGGCCTCCTTAGTTTGACTAAGGTATCAGATCCTCGCAAGCAATCCCTACAAAAACCTGTAAAATTAAACCTCCACAGGTTGCCATCAGGACGCCCAGGATCCACACACACACACACACAACGATTAAGAGGGCATCTCTCAAGTGCTCCACTTTGCAATAACAATCACACCCTTATCTCCCCAAATTCCCGAATTCCAACCAAATACACACACACACACACAGACATAAACCACATAAATCATCACATTAAAAGAAAAACATCAAACAACATTAAGATGATAATAGCAACCACATGCTATTTCCAGTCAGCAGAACACAAGAAATTCAACTGACTTCATAAATCACACCTTAGGACGACTGATCACAATTCATCTGTGCCTGAGCCTCGTCAACGTCTCACCATGCTAAAAATTTACCCAAAAGCATTCAGTGGACATCCAAAACTAATCAATCATATACCACCACCACAATTAGTGACCACGCAATAGACAGCTATAAGCAATTAAAAGAAAAGAGGGGGGCAACAGCTACTAATAATGCTAGTTCAAATTGGATCAACCTTAAAAACAAATCGCCAACATCCACAATTCAACTACTGAAATAAACCTCGAACTGAACCCATTACAAGATACAACCTTTTCATGCAATTTCTCCAATTAAAACTCCACTACTAGTAATTCAATATCAAACAAAATTTGCCCACCGAGTCACCTACGATTCACACAGAGAACTTGATAAAAAACGATTAGTTATTTAAACTCTGCACTTTACAATCCCAGACCCATTCCCCTCAATTACCCCACCTGCACTCAAACAAATCAACCCACACATACACAGAGAAATAAGCCATAAAATTCATCAAGGCTGAAAGAGAACATCAATCGAGAATAAATTGATAATAACATCCACACAAGTCATTTCCAATCAGCATAACCTAGGTTACAAATGAAAAGCCAATAACCCTGGTCCAAAGTACAATAATTACACCTAACCAACCACCCCAAAGTTGAATTCTTTACACAACACCAAATTCAGAGATCCCAGCTTTTTCCACCCCCACAACTTATTTACCTTCAATCTCCTCCTCTGCTAAGCCTTCAATCCCAATCCATGCTTTCCATGAACACACCCTGGCTTCACATGAAGAAAAGGACTCCTCTTTGAACTACTCATCTTAGGAAATATCCTTTTGCCTAATTTCCTCATCCTCTGCCTCCCTAACTTCCCACTAACATTCCATGGCACTAGCTCGTCGTTTAACCCATAACCGTCGTCTTCGTCGTCGTCGTCGTCCTCCTCTTCATCATCAACATCTTCATTCCCTTCCCCGTACTGAACCCTCGCAGCAGGATCCTCCTCCTCTTCATCATCAACATCTCCATTCTCTTCCCCGTACTGAACCCTCGCAGCAGGAAACAGTATAGGCCCCATACGATAAACACAACGGTCTTCGTCGTCGTAATCTTCATGAAGTTGAGAATTGACATGAAAGACAACTTCTTGGTCTTGTTGGGTGTCTAGGGCTACAATTCCCTGTCTTGTTTTCGGTGATCTTGATGAAGACCAAGAGACAAAGCCATTTTCAAGACTATGTAGAGAATCAGAGTCAGAATCTTCAGCATCAGACTCATTAATGAATTCCCAGTTAGAGAAATCATTACCTTCTTCGTAGAAAACAAGATCCTGTTCTTGAAAGAGTGGTTTCATGGTGATTGATCTCTTTGCCATTTTTCTCTCCGATTTTTTTCTTCTTCTTTTTTTTTATCTCCGATTGTTTGTGTTTCGTGTTGCGTTCTCCTTAAGGATTTAAGTTTGGATCCTTTAAGCTATTTACACGTCGTAGTGGATCATGTGACAACGGTTGTGGTGTTAATAGCACGTATTAACACAAATAGGCGTGTGACACGTGGAGGGAATATATAGTTGTCCTTTTTAAAAAAAGGAATAATTTTCTTTTTAGTTGCCACGTGAAGCATATTCGAGATTAGGTATACTCTCCTTCAGGGTTAGCTCCTGCTCCTTCGAAAAAACGGGAACTGAACTCCTGCGTTACTTTGATTGCACAACTACTATTTAAGAGTGTTTTTGATAATCGTGGTAATTATTATTTTTTAAATATTTTTTTATATTAATATATATTAATAATATTTTTTTATTTTTAAAAAATTATTTTTGACATAGTACACTAAAATAATTTAAAATATCTAAATTATATTAAATTTTAATAAAATATTAAATTTTTTTAGAAATACTAATTAAACCACGTTCTCAAACAGTACATTTCAAGAAAGGATTTCATGTTTTCTCCTTTTTTCCCTTTTCCTTTTCACTTTTGATTGAAAGAAAAGTTTGCTTTCGAAGTGTCAATGACCACGACTCCTTAGCATATTTTATTTTTTTTATTTAAAATTGTCTTTTATTTTATTGTTTTAATATATTAATATTAAAAATAAAAAATATAATTTCTTGAGCCCTATGCAAATCCACGACAACTCTCTTATTGTAGAGTGAAATCAAATGCGAGCAGGGGAGGCAAGACCGGCGACGGAGAGAGCACCGCACGAATTCACAGCAAACTCGCTCTTGTTATACAGTGAAATACAGGCTTGATGCTTTTGCTTTTGTTTCTTGATGTTTTTTTTATTGATTTTTTTCAGTATTTTGATTTTAATATATTAATATTAAAAATTAAAAAAATTCCATTTTAATTATTTTTCAAACAAAAATAAAAAACAATCTACATTACAATTCCCAACACACAATATTGGAAGAGTGTTTATATTTCAAGTCGGTGGGACGACAATAAAGGTAAGGCTTCCTTCGAAAATTCGACCACCAAAAAAACTACAAAAAAACAGGGAGGAACTCATGGCCTGGGAGGATTGTGTTTGTTGTCCGAAGTGTCGTTGCATTTAGCTAGCGAGATAAAAAGATAGATATAAAAAATAAAAAAGGCATTTAATTAGAATAATAAGATGAAAATATAAAAAATAAATTTATCCAAATTATTTATATCTCTTTTGTTATAAGATAATAACTAAAAGTTACCTCAACTAGCAGGTATTGACGGCATGCTTCAAAACCGTCGTCTCCAACACTACCGAATGCAGACGTGGGATGAGTCCAATAATGATCCCAGTCTTCATCGGGTCCACAACATTTAAATTTTCTAATTAAATTAAATTAAATTAAATCCCCCTTATTGTTGGAACCTGCCCAATTACACGGATTCAAGCCAAGTTTTGGGACACAATTAACTGGACGGAGTTAGGCTAGATAACATCTAACTAGACGGAGCATTCAATTAGAAAAGCTAATCAAGTACAGGAAAAGTAACAGGGCATATTCGCCGTGGCCGACGCGATAATAAAGTTAATTACGTGGAAATGTTAATTCCAAAATACTAATACCATGCCCCTGCTGCTGAGTGTCGATGTCATGGAAGACCTCCTGCTAAATGTGCAGCTCTAGTGCTTTCGGTATTTTTCAATTATTGTCGAAGTTTTTTTGCTGTCTTTTCGGAAAGAACTTCTACGGAGATTCTAAAACAAATAAAAAACATCGAGGGAGGTAACGGTGTTACGTCTGTGTAGTTATGAATATTTTTTAAAGTATTTTTAATTTTTAAATATATTAAAATAATATATATTTTTTTAATTTTTTAAAAAATATTTTTAATATCATGCATATTAAAATAATTTAAAAATATTAAAAACATTAATTTAAAACAAAGAAAAAAAATTAAAACTTTCTAAAAACATTTTTAAAATACAAAAACAAATAAAACCTTAAAATAGCAAACTACATCCCCATCTTTCCACTATTGTCCCGAGGTTAACCTCTCCCGGATTCTGTTTACCAGCACCATCTGAGAA